ATTTCCAGAGATCATACCCAAATGAGACTTGAAATAAATCAAGTGTTGAGTAGGTGAAACTTTCCCGTCAAATGGAGTGAAATTGATCAGACTGAATTTTGGCGGGTATGGAATTAGCTCCCACTCCCTCGGATATGGGCACAGAATGTCGGTCTTCTTTACTTCTTGAGCCGACATCAAAGCATTCACTTTGTTCTCGAGCTCTTTCATTTTCTTTTCCTCTCACGTACTTTTCTTCGGGGGATGTTGAGGAGGCTCAACTGGACCACCCTCAACATTATTGCTATTGGGAGGTATGTCGGCAAAGATGTGTTCATCCACTTCTGTGTCACTATCAACCATGTTTGTTTGAACATGCGTGGTATTGCGCCGGCTAGACTCAACCCATTGACTAGGCTCAGGTTGTTGATGAGATTGTTGAGTCTACAATTCTCTCATCTGTTGCATAGCCAACTTCATCTCCATTCTCATCTCAGCTCTGATTTCTTCTTGCTACTTAGCCAGAGCTTCTTGCAGTATTTGAGCTAATTGATCAGGTGTGATGGTGAATGCCTCTCTAGCCTGTCTTACACTGGACATTGTGTCGTTGGAGGAAATCTCAAAACAAGTATCTGAGAGCTCCTCATCTAAAGACAACCCTTCTTGCATTTTTTGTAATCTCTACGTCTAGTGGCCCTTAGCTGTAGCTGTGATATTCTTTGAGAGAGCCCCTGATCAACTCTTCCTATTGGAGAGAAATCAGGGTCGGAGTTGGTTGAATGTCGTTTTCCTCTATCTGTCATATTAATGGTGACCTCTGGAAGCTCATCATCTTGAACGACATATCTTCTCTTGCGGAAATGCCTCGGCTTGAGTATTGATGTTTCAGTAGAAAGTCTTTAAAATACAGAGACTCTTGGTGGTAAAGCTTTGGAGCAGTTACATTCAGATGACACTGCTTTGATAAGCCTCTCACATGCATAACGAGGGCTTATTTCTCGAATAGTCCTCTTTTGAGACTTATTCTTACTTCCAGTCTGATAGTATAACTCGACGGTATGATGACCGAAGCAACCTATCAACTATTGGTGTGGTTGACCCTTGTTGACACTCTCTAGACGACTTGCCGTCACCTTTGAGTGATCCAAGGTCATATCAGGAGTCGCACATTTAGAACTACCCCCTTGTGGGTCCAGAGTCTTAACGGGCTCCTGAGTTTCGATATGAACTCCCAAGCGTGTGGAAATTGGAATTTCCCCTTCTGGGATTGCTTTGACTTGATGGGAGGATGTAAACAACCCCCTAACGTGAGAAGTCACTTGAAATTTTTCACCGGAACCAAGCATTCTCTATCTGGAGCTTTGCCTCGATCCTCATGCGAAGAACCAAGGTGATCCACCATTGTAATTCTAAACCTTGACAGGTCAGGACTGACCCAATGCTTCATTAGTGGGTTAGCATATGTGGTTGCAACAGAAGAACGAGGAGCAGACGTCGAAGGAGTCGAAGGAGAGCCCTCAGGAGATGGACTTTGTCTGAGACACTTGCTTGTGTCTCGGATATGGCTCCCTTTGCCGAGAGAGTTGCTAGTGTCTCAGATAAAGTCCATTTGTCTGAGACACTCACAAGTGTCTCGGTTAAAGGAAGCATTCCGCGATCCTGATTTTTGTATAAGTTTAGATTTTGGAATCCAAACTTTGCAAGTTCTCTATGATTGTTTGGACATCATTTCCTTCTTCCCTTCTTTTGTTTATTGCACAAGAGCACAGGCATGAGTGGCGTTTGCACGACGCTTTTAAATGCATTCTTTGAGGGTCGAACGAGCTCTTTTGACGAGAACCCATTCCTCCGTCGATAAATTGGTAGAGATGTGAGTGGTTTGTCGTTGAGGTGACTGGTCCACTCGATGTTTCCTTGACTCTAGATCCGCATAATAATGAACCCCGTCGATTTGTTTTAAGGCCTTAGCTATTTGACTAGCACGGCGTTGACGTTCTTTGACGAGCCCTCTTCGTCAGTGCCGGTAGACTTTGATTCAAAGACTCCTTAATTGGAGAAGAACCATTGTGAGCAGAAGTTCTGGCCTTGTTGATTGGCGGAGAAGCGTTGTGAGGGGTAGCCTCAACAACAATCGGGCGAGAGTCTTCACCCGTAGCCTTCATTAAAGTTGAATACTAGAAAACCTTCTTCGAAGATGAAATCTTCCTGCATTTGCGAGGTGAGGAAGACCTTAAGGATGACAATGATAGATACTCCTCAAACTTTGCTTGGTCGAATTCATACTCGAATGTGGATTCAATCGGGATCTTGATCGGTTGCGACACGACGGTCTCGGCAGCGAGACTGTTGCCTTCCACTGTGGTCGCTAGCGTGTTTGCGTCAGAAATTAGTTTATTTATTGAACTCATTACAACTCGTTTATCGAATACAATGAATTTCAAGAAACAATTTTTTTATAAGACTTCTCGTTACAAACAAATAACTTCCTAGAAACACACTCATGCATGAACATTTATCGTTCGCTGCTTGCGTGTGATCTTTGCCTATGTTGGGGGTGTGTTAGCCCATGGACGGCCGAATCACAGATCCAAGTTAAACCGTGAAGAAGGCTTAAGGTCGATGTTTCATTTTAGAAATAAAGACAGAAGTGAATATCTTAGCAAAGTAAGATAAAACACTCTTTTCGAAATTAAGTCAAAGCTTAGATCTCAAGGAATAGCAAGAGCTATGAAAGGCTTGTACGTGATGAAGATTCTCTCTCTCTCTTACTTAGAATGCTCAAATCTCTGCTCTATTTTCTTCAATAATGCTCCCTCCCCCTCAGTAATGGTCCTAGAAGAGTATTTATAAACCCTAAGAACCGTAACTGAAGTCTAAAGTTGAAAAGAAACCGTATCGAAGAACCTCTGTTTCCGAGACACTCGCAGCTATCTCGGAAACAGGGCTCATTTTTGGCAATTTTATAACTGCTTCAACAACGTTTTAATGCTATTATTTTGGTAGTTACTAGCATGATATTCACTTGTAATATCTCCTTCACAGTTATGGAGGTCCAGCAGTTATGAAGCCATGTGGATCGCCAAAATCTCAAGAAAACCGTCACCAAGTCCATTTTATTTTCTGAGACAGTTGCAAGTGTTTCGGAAACTATGATTTGCCTTCATAACTTCTGAGACAGCCGCAAGTGTTTCGAAAACTAAGATTTGCCTTCATAGCTTCTGAGACAGTCGCAACTCTCTCGGAAACTATGTGTCTTCTCATAGTTTCTGAGACACATTTTGTGCCTCGAAACTTGTGTGATGCGCTTCTTATACATTCCTTAGTTGATCTTTGGCTTTGGATGATCCTATATAACTTAGATAATAACGTTTATCGCCTTCTCTTCATCTTAAGTTATGTGTGATACCCTATAGGCAATTTTTGACGCTTACATTTGTAAGCAGCACACCATGGCCGAGAGAAGTCTCAGAGGTCGCCCGTGAGCCAAGAGAACAACTAGATATACTACCTCCGCAGCGTAAGCATCTACAGGCATGGTGGGCACCGCACAATGCTTCAAGCACAGTGTGAGGAAGCTAGTGAATAGAGCCATGTCAGAAATTGGAATCTCCGCTTGATAATGGAAGCTTTCAAATACAGTGTATGACGGAAAGACATCTTCCTCAGCCTCATTGGTGTAGTGGGCAGTGGCATCATCAATATGCTCATTGATTTCATCAAGTGTACTAGCAGCCATGCGGGTCACTTTCACGTCTTTCTCATATAAATTCTGAAAGAGGTACTCGACCCACTGTCCTTGCTTAACACCACTCCCCCGTGTCCCGGTAATCTGTGCGCATATTTAGAAATGGCACATTAATTCCCAATAAGTATCATAAATTGTGGGATCAGCCTTTCTCAAAATCCTTAACTCTTCATTCCCTGGGATGAAATCTTCATAGGGTAGCTTTCCAAATGACAGTCCCGAAATCTCAAACATTTCATGGAGAGCGAAACCCAGCTCCCCAATAGGTGTGAAAAATATACTGGTGATCGGATTATAGAACTCCAATATTTCGAAAAGGCCACTGTAGTTTGGAGAAATCCCGTATCGGGTAGCCAATATCGGGATCCTTAGGCCAGAAACTTCATGTGGCTCTTTCAATTCATCCAGGACAAAATCGATCATCTGGGCCCACCATCCAGTCTTGTTAGAGTGCACCCACGTCGGAGGCCTAAAGTCTTGTGTGGGAAACTCTCCCTTCACAGATATGAACTTTCTGACGAACGTATTCGCCAACTTAGCAGATTCACTAACTGGATGCTCCTTCTTAACTGAACTAGGCTTCAAAGCCACAACTTGTTGATTGAAGCCAGTTGGACTAATGCCACGATGAGTAAGGTGTCTGATAGCTACTCCACCATGTTCTTGAACAAGTTCCCCGTTCATGGATCGTGGGACAAAAGAACACTGGTAATAGGAGATCGGGAGCATCCACTCCATGTTCTGTAGGATGAGGGAACGACCATTGACAGTCCGCAGCCATTTATAATTGCCGTCAAGCATCCGAGCAATATCCATCTTAACTGAATCTCCAAAGAGGAATACTGGTTTCTTCAGCACTATTCACTCAGTTGTCTCAAATTTCGCATCTGTAACAAGAGCTCTGAGGGTTTCTGGAAAAGCTTGAGCGCTGATTTGTGATCGCTCCTTGTTAGTATCTTGGAATACTGGATATTCCAAGCGAAAGCTGAAGAGTACTGCATGCTCAATTTACTAATACTTCAGATACTTTCTTTTGTACATACTCTATGGTTTAGGTTGACTAGTAAGAAATCTTTGACATGTTATTCATATACAAATCCGTGCTAAAACAAATATCATGTCCTTTCCTGTTTCATAGTATTTTGGAGTGAGGGCACGACAGTAAAACAAATCTGTGCTAAAACAACAAGCAAATTTCCTGAAGAATGCAATTTCCTCCCATTCAGTCAGTCCCCTGCTGGGGATTTTCTGCAGTATGAACATGAAACTACTAAGTTTAGATTTGATGCGTAAGGAAGACAATTGCCGACAAACTGAGAGGCAGAAATTGTACAAAATAAGATGTGCAGCCTCAACACAAGTAACAATCCAATTAGAGATGTCCTGATGAAAGAAAACAGAAATAGAAAATAGAATATGTACTTTACATCCTGGTATTTATTTCGAGGGAACAATCTGGCTAATAGGAGGTAGCTAAAACAGAGGTTAGTCTAATGTTGAACCAAATGAGCTCGCTACTCTCATCTCTTCAAGGCAGTATCTGGGTCTTCTTTAACCGACTCATCAGAATCTGACCCTATGTCGATATTAAGGCTAGACACAGGTAAAGGCTGAGCTGCATCCCCTCCGGCCCAAACCAGAGGCATCCTTTTATCGTCTTCCATCATCTTTGCAGCATAATCTGTGTAGTTGAAACTCGTGTGATTCTTTCCTCCAAATGCAGTTTCCAGCTCATCCATATCGAATAGCTCTTCCATGATCTTTTGAGAATTGTGGTCGACTTTGTAAACAAACTGAACTTTTTTGTTAGTCTTAGCCTCTAGAAAAGGTTTTACCACCTGCAAGTATGAGTCCATTTTGTATATATTTCAAAAACAATAACAAGTTAACATGTAACAATGTCATAATAGAAAAACAAAGCAAGAATATTATGATGTCTTCCAGGTACAACTACTAAAAAAAGGATAGAAAAACTATGTCAACGCTACATGTCTAACATTGGACTCAGGAGGAATAAGGCTCTATTTCTCATGTTTAAACTGTAAAGACTCTGTCTTGCTTGTGAAAGTGTGTAGAAATTCATGTAACTATTGCAATAGAAAAAACTATATTATAATCCCGTGTTAAGCACTCTACTTAAAAATATTGAATAGGAGCAGAGAGTAATCTGCAAACTTTTCAACAATAAAGCAAACAAAAGTGTGGGAAACTTTATTGTATACAATACATGGTCTTTATCTACACACCCTCAAAATCTATCTTATTAGTAGAATTACCCCTCAAATCTGAATATTTGCTAATTTGCCCTTATATTCTTAGACATTAAGTTAAAATACCCCTCTCATTGACTCATTTAACATCATTAATTTCAAACTGAGGAGAAAGGGACAGAAATACCCCCCAACACTAAAAGATAGGTTTCTTTCTTTTTAACCTACACACCCCTTCAAATCTTACGATTTTAACCCAACCCCCCCCCCCCATACACACACACACACACACACACACACAAACCCTCCAAAAAAAGCCCTATAAATCTGCATATTTGCTAATTTACCTCTGTGAACTTTAACGGTATTTAAGTGAGAAGGGTAAAAATATCCGATGTGGGAGAATGTAAGGGTAAATAAACAAATATGCAAATTTGGGAGGTAATCTGCAAATCAGATAGATTTGGAGATAATTTATATAGGCTAAAAACCCAAAGGTATATTATGTCACATCAAAATCAGAGTGCGAGAAGATTTTTTGTGGAAAATCAGAGAATATTGAACATTCTGAAAGAGGGAAAATCTAATGAATATTGAACATTTTCCTTGAGAAATCCGAATACCATAATAAAATGATAACATACCATCCAAAAAGATTCAAAGATCTTCGGAGGGTTATACAAAATCATCGCCCCTAGTCTTTCTGGATAGTGATCTTGTAGAACATTTGCTGTTTCTTTTGTCACCTTTACTGATATGTTCGACATGGTGAACCCATGGAAATCAATGAGCCAAACCATCTGCTCTTGGTCTTCTGGCAAATTTAAAATGGCATTCTCCATGCAGTACACCAAGTACCTAATCTGTCCCTGTGTTGAATTTGTGCTCTGCAGTTCAAAACATGCTCTCAACATCCAAATGCATCAATATCGATCATATTACATACAAATTACAAGTTTAAAGAGGCTGAGAAGAAGCAGTTTAATTTCTAGGATTTATCAAACCTGGCATCCACGGGGTCTCATGACAAGGACAATTCTTCCGTACTTATCAACAAAATTTGATCTATAGATTTTCCCAGTCTCAGCTTCATGGGCTATATCCTCCTATAAACCATAGTATTGGTTAAAAGATAATGATACAAAAAAATACAAATAGAGTGATTGATTTCACTTAAGAATTTGAATGTTTAGATATTTGTACAGAAGAATTCCCAAACAATGAGTGCATAAATGCAGAGAATACTGCACTTATGATACTGTTCCTTAAAATTGCTATGCACGCTGTCGATAGTGATACTTTCTAAAAGAACCCAACGGGAGTAGCAGGCTAATTTGAAAAGGGATCCATTTGCTTATAGTGAAGCAAGTTTATATGTAAAATGCAAAAGAAGTTTGGTTGTTCAAGATAATAAGATATAGCTTCAAAGAAAAGTTCTATGCAGAATGTCTATCAGATTGCTCTTCTGCAGCTCCAAATGTTTCTATTCCATCCAAATATATCATAATTGATTAAAAGAATTTCAATAAAGGATTTATTTTGAAATATCTCTGTAACAATTAAAAACAATTCAACCAAGAACTTGCATCCCTTGACCATGAATCCAAAATGTTGCACAATTCACGAATTTCAAGGAAAAATATATGAATATCGAGTCAAATTGGAATATCAAAGATGGACTAGGAAGATGACTCATATAAGGAGAACATTTAATCAGATAGTAAATTCTTCTGATGGTATTTCAAAAAGGGAATAGAAGGTGAACTAATTAATATTTTTATGTTGATTATTGCATGAGCTCGATAGCCTGGACTCTTTCAGATAACTGTGTGTATGTTGTGAATAAGGGGGGAATACTGGCTGTGCTTTGTGCATGAGAGAGGGAGGGAGAATTTCTTTTTGGCCATACTTGATAGAGGGGAATTTCTTTTTGCAATAGTTGCAGGCTAGCAATGTGGAGAAGGGGTGCCTATTACGAGATTGTATAGATGTATTTAACATGAACATTGTGCATTATTTTTCTGAGTATTCAGCTAGTAATGTCTCTACATGCATATGATAACTTGTATAAACTTTGCTTGAGTACCATGTTCCATGTCAGTACACATGCCTATCTGATAATTCATCACAATTGTAAATTTGGAACTCGTTGAAATTTTTATCTTAAGTAATTACTGTAGTTAAACGTGATGCTTGACACTAAGAAGTGGAATGAAGTATTACAAAGTTCGTGATGGAAAGCAGATGCACACACGAGAGTAGAACAGTTTTTGAAGTAGAGATTCTAACCCTAAAGTTTTAGATATAAGGCATATGGAAAAAAGCAAGACACGATTTATAAAAAAGCAAGACACAATTTGAAAAAAAAAAAAAACAACATGAAATACATGCTATGTCCTTTATTTTACTTTATTTGTCTCCTTGGATTAGTGCAATGCAGGAGTTTTGACTTCTACTAACCCAACGAATTTCTTCTGGCTTATTTTCCAGACGCCATTTTAGAGTTCCTTTAAGCATTTTAGTTGCTCTCCTAACGTTCCAGCTTCTTGCTGTCAAGTATCTTCTAATGCAGGCATCTGAACAGTAACGAGAAAATTTATCTGGCAGAGGTCCCAACAAAGCTTTTACTTCCTCAACCTGGAAAATGACATAAAAAGAATATAAATAAAAAACTGTACAAACTCTTTGAGCAACTTTGTTTGACAAAGCATCCCCTTGAACAAATAAATAGTCATCCTCCCACTAAGTGGAAATAACCAAGCATACTGCTTGACTCGTATCCTGATTACCTTGTTGCTCTGCTCTTCAAATAACGATTGCTTTCCCAAACCGATTGAAGAGTTCCTGAAGCTCATTATGTTTTAAAGATTCCTGAAGGGAAAAAAAATTAGGAGCAAATATGAAGTTCTATGGTCGTAGAAACAAATCGATGATAATATTTTCTGCTCAAAAAGAAATAACGAGCGCAAAGAGGCATGCTTTATGCCATACTACACTTTCTCCTTGGAGAAAGGGTACATGCTTACAAATTATTGCATGCTTTGGCTAACTTATGACTTCAGAAGTTCACATACATGAATGAATATTGACGCAACTCAGACCGAATTGTTAAAATCTTCAACAATAAAGTGATCACCATGAATAATATGGAACTACACATATTAAATTTAATTCTTTAACAATTAGGCATATGTCTCAGAAATATTTATGTATTATTCAATATTCAAAAAAGAGCATTCAACCAGCCATTCAATTGTATGATCAAAAGATTCCAAACACCGGATGGTAGAACAATTTTACTATGTGTATCCTCTTTAGCTTAGAATTGCTTTACCATTCTTTGTCGTATATCATACATCACATCTTTTTACTGTAAGAATGACAGTATGCAGTACCCCCAAAGTGAACCCCATGCCAGCATGTACTGAATATAAAGCCAACTAATACAGATTGCATATCAGCATAACCAAGAAACAGAATGCAGCACAAGTTTACGCATATTGACAAAAACTTCAATAAGGAATCTGATGGGGAGCAGCGTGAGGGTTTCGATCCAGAGGCGAGAAACCGTTGACAACTTGGAGGAATGGGGTTAAAATCCATGACGAAGAAGAAGGCTTTTAAGAGAAGCAGTACGCGGTCCTGTTCATGGTTGAACAGTAGCTTCTTTTTTTTGGTGGAGGTGTTCTTTTGACTGGTTGGATGGCGGTAATTCTTTTGGAGGGGAAATGAGTTGTGGATGATCTAGAAGAATAAATGAAGGAGAATTTTAATAGGTACTAGGCATCACCTAGGGGCCTCACACCCAAGGGCTTTACACCCGCAAGACATTTCACGTGCCAATAAGCAATTTACATACTCAAGATCAAACTCAATTCTTTTATTCATTAATGTCTATTCTTCATGAAGGATTACATTGTAAATAAAAATCCTAATCAAATCAAAACGTTACAAAAGCAAAAGATACAATCAAATAAAATCCTAGCAAAAATAGAAAGAGATTTCAAAATCAAATCCTAGAGAAATCCTAACTAAAAGAAATTTCATGTGATCAAATCAAATATTACTAAATTTAAAATTATTCTAACAGATCTTAAAATCTTTTTATGGACGATCCATAATTGTCTTACATCAAATCTCCCCTTGTTAGAAAAAATACGACCTTGAGTTTTATAATGGGAGAGCGGAATAATTGACTTGATTGGTGAGAAAAATTCTATTGTAGATTGTAAAATCTTCAAGATAAGTTGTAAAACCCGATATTGAGTTAATGATAAAGGGTCTGGAATAACGAACTCAATAATTAAATTATCTTAAAATTTGTACCGCATATCAATTTTAAGTTTGGATTCTAGGCTTGACTTGAGCTCTGGGTCTGATTCAAGCTCGAGCATTAGATCGATCTGTTACTTTGTTTTTTGTTCTAACTCTTGCTTAAGCTTGGGATTTAGATCTATCTTTTAATTTGTTTCTTCTGGCTGTAGTTTAAGCCCCCCCTCTAGATTGATCTTTTAATCTATATCTGATTTTGGCTCATGCTCAGACTCGGACTTTGGTTCTTGATTGAATTTTTTATCTTGCTCTGCTTTCTTATCTGACTCAAGTTGAAGCTTCAGATCTAGATTGAAATTAAATTTTGATTGAACATCCACATCTGACAGGGGTTGAGGAATTTATGTTGGCTTTGCTTTAAAATTTGAAGAGAAACAATATCTTCTAGATGATGGGCTAGAGTACCTCATCTCCAAAAGCTTTCATAGTCGTTCATGAACGGATATTTGAATGATAATAGTTTCTATACTACCAATATTTTGCTTCTCTCTTTAGCCTACACTCATTATATAAATACATTTTCAGTTCTGACATATCATAGATAGAAAATATATCTTCTACATTGAAAATCCAAACATCAAATCCATAAGGCTCCTTATATCCATCAAAGCCATAAAAGTAGGCTAGGCTACCAAATTTAAGTGGATTAAAATCATACCCATGTGAAGTAGGTTCTAGTATTTTACCTCTGATAACTGTGGATCCTTCGGCTCTAATACCAAATGATGGGTAGAGATGTAAGAGTTTTGGTCTGGAGGTGAGAAATCATCGACAACTTGGAGGAATAGTGTTAAAATACATGACAAAGAAGAAGGCTACTAAGATGAACAGTACGCACATACTGTTCACACTTGAACAATAGCTTTTTTTGTGAAGGTTGTTTTGACTACTTGGATGGCGGAGATTCTTTTGGAGGGGAAATGAGTGGAAGATGATCTAGAAGAATAATTGAAGGAGAATTTTAACAGGTACTAGGCATCACCTATGGGCCTCACACCCAAAGGCTTCACACCCTAAAGACACTTCACATGCCAATAAGCAATTCACATGCTCAAGATCAAACTCAATTGTTTTATTCATTAATGTCTATTTCTCATGGAGGATTACACTTCTTATTTATAGGAAAAGAAATCAACTAAACACTTAAAAAGAAGTAAATAAAAATCCTAATCAAATCAAAACCTAATAAAAGTAAAAGATATAATCAAATAAAATCCTAGCAAAAATAGAATGAAATTTCAAAATCAAATCCTAACTAAAAAAAATTCATGTGATCAAATCAAATATTACTAAAATTAAAATTATTCTAATAGATCTTAAAATCTTTTGATGGACTATCCATGACTATCCTGTATCAGTATCTACCAAGCTTTACCAAGTGAACTTGTTGTTGTTGCTGAAATATCCACATCAATACATTTTAGGTACTCACTTCAAGTTAATTTTCATTAAAAAAAATCACATCGTGAAAAAAAATGTTCTTCCAACTTGAGACTAAATAATTTCATAAAGCAATGGACATAAACTAAATCAATAAGGCCATTATCAATCTAGGTTATATCCAATTGCTATCTCCACTTAGTGCTCTATCATCCAACTTCCTCTTTTATAAGAGAGGAGGCAATGCCAAACATCTTAAATATTTAAAAACATGGAGAGAATTAAATGTTAAAAAATTATGAGGAAGGAACAAAAATGACAGAAAATTTTCCGCACTATGTTCACATTAAAGTTTTGGCCATCAAATATAATCTAACTTAAAAATACCCACAAACAGACTTCACTGATGGGGATTAACTTAAATATTGGCTTTTTTTATAAAAACTAAAAATCTAATAATTCTTTTTATTTTATAATTACCGCTCCTAAGTTCCGCAATCCATTGTTAATTTCTTCAATCAAAACAAGACCCAAATCGTCAAAAGACTCCAAACATTCACATCAAACTTGACTTCCAAGAAAAACAAGGACCATATTGTAATTTTCCCCACACCAATTCATCTCCATCATTAAGCTCCATGCATGAAAAGAAATCAACAAAAGGCACCCATCAACAAATTCAACCACATAATCAAACTAATCCCATAAAATTTTGATTCTGAGAAATGGGTTATCAAAATTTAGCTCTAGACCTCATCTGCACGCACCATTAAACAATATATGCAATACAAAATAAAAACTGCAGATAAATGCGGGCGTATGACAAGGACGGAGATGAATAATGGCTCTAATGTGCGCTAGGGCTTACCTCCGGCGAATTGAGGGGGCGATGGCCATCAATTCTTCTCAAGAGAAAATTTAGCTGCAATGGGGTTAGAGAGAGATGCCAGAATTAGGGAAATGGCTGGTCCATTTGGACGGTTATTTATGTAAATTTAATTAAAAGTTGAATTTTGCACGAGTTAATTAACACTAATGTTTAAGCAGTTGCGAAGTTTACATAAGAAACGTCTTTCTTCATGGTATTTGCATATCCGGCAACTACATAAACGTACGGCTCGGGACAAATTTGCCTCTTTAACTATTAAAATGGTTGCCACCTGACTAGTTTACATAAGAAACGTCTTTCTTCGTGATATGTTTAGATCAGTTTAAATCTAAACATCCATTGAGTATAAGGGAAATCATTGAATTTAGGAGCAATATTAATATCATAGCCTAAACTAGATGCATCGTGTAAATCTATGCAAGCAATGAAAAAATAATTACAAAAACTAGATTAGCAATAATGTAAAGTGAGGATCTTTGACTCTAGGCGATTAAGCCATAAATCAAAATGCACCAAGCTCTGATACCAAATGAGAGAGGGTGAATAGGGTAATTGCTAATCTAATTCGATATTGATGCCAAATTAAGACTAATAATGAATTATCCTAGCAATTATGCTATATACAAAAATATAAGCAAGGATAAACAATTTAAACAGAGGCGATGTAAACAATGAACACAAGATATAAGAGCAAAAAGTACGCCAAAGCCAAACGCATACAAAAGATATGATCACGGAGTTCGGTCTAATACTCGACCTACGTCTCCGTTCCTCACCTCGAGGAGATTCTCCACTATCAATCAAAATAACTACACAATCAGTTTTCAAAGCTCACCGAAAACTTTTTACAATACACGTTGTCAATCCTACAAGACACTCCTCTAAGTGTTGGCCTACCCGTGTCACTTTCCTCAAATGCTTGGAATTACTACATCTCCCTAGGCTTTTACAATCAATTCACTCCTCTTGGAATTGACCCCGGTCTCTTCCAACCACTTCTCTGAGTGTCCTTGTGTATTACAATGTGTTTCTATAATAAGTACAAATAAAGATTTATTCTCTAACAAAGACGACAATGAAATTTAAGCTCACTCAAAGATATACTCTCATAATCCAAATATACGATGAGTATAATAAAATCAAACTCAAATAAATCTAGCTTATATATATGATGATTAAAATGTAGATTATCTAGAAATTGAGTTTAGGAAACTTCTCCAAATAAGAGAGATAGAGATTTGAAGATGAATGCCCAAAACCAAAATCGATCTCCTCCTCTTGTAAACTCTTTTTGCAAACAAACAAACACCTAATCTCTTTAAAAATGTGGAGCCAAAAATGGCTTAAAGAAACTGATGAAACCCTTGAAAAACTTGGCTCAAAAATAAGCATTGAGGGGTATTTATAACCTCTCAAAGAAAATATGCCAAAACTACCCGTTACAGCAAAAGACATCATCAGTCGACTGGTCAAGTTTATCAGTCGACGGATAAACTAGTAGTTGGCGGAGCTGGAAAATCATCACTCAATCGGTCAACTTGTGAGAATGAATTAGTCGACTGGTAAGACGTGATCGGTCGATTGATCATTTGTGATTGGTCGACTGATTTGTCTAAAAACTCAAACGCTAAAAAAATCTACTTGTCAGTCGACTAGTTCGACTTAGTCGGTCGACCGATAATGTGCTCAGCACGTATTCTACTGAAAAACTGATTTTGTAAAATCAATTAAAAATAACAAATTAACTCCAAAAATAGTAAAACTTGGAAAATAGCAAAACACATAAAAATAAACATCTTAGAGAAGAAATTTTTGAAATATCATTTCTCATTTGTGAAAACTCATTATTTAGAAAATACAAACTCGTTAAAACTTGATTTTGATGAAATCTTTTCAAACAAGTTTTGAGATTCTTTCTAATATATTGATAGACTTTAGAAAAGATGTAAAAACAGTATTATTTAGTCTATAATCCAAAAACACAATATATGAAACAATATGTGTGTGTATATGAATTTGAGCTCTAAGCATAGCACATAAAGTATACAACTAAACTCTATACCCAAACTTGATATGAATGAAGCACAATCTTGATGAAGCACGATAGTGGTCTTTGACTTGATTGCGACGGCTTCATTCCAAATATCCACCAACTCCAGAATATCTTCGTTTAAGGCACAAATCCATCCAACCTGGATACACGTTGGAGAAAACACAAATGCTAGAAAACAAGATTATAAATTGCTTGTTAGTCATAAAAACTAGATTAGAAAGTAGGCTCACAAACATGAGTCCTAACAACTATCTTATGGGACTACTCCTATGTTATTGAATAATCATATTCTCTCTTTAAACAAAGTTAAAATTGTTGGTTAGTCTAATTAGACCATCACACATATTATTAGAGAGTTACATATAAATCACAACTAATTCAGACTTTTAAAACTCACACCATATGTCTAAAAACAAAACTAGGCATCTGAAGAAATAAAAAATAATATCTCTGTACGAAATAAAAAATAATATCTCTATCAACAATTCTCAACCATCTCCAATACCCGACCAGACATCTAAACACTAAGTTAGACACATCTGATATTGGAGAACCAGACATTTGGTCTCAAATGAGTCATCTGATGTTGTGGTGTCAGATGACGAGGCCGTCACTACTACTATTTTCTGTTACTGTTTCGCCTCATTTTTTGTCGTTTTCCCTCAAATCTTCTCGTGACTTTTTCAAGAGCTGTTTCACCTTATTTTTTGTCATTTCACCTCAAATCTTCTCATGAATTTTTAGAACTATCAATGGGATCAAAAATACATGTTTCTTCTGTTGTACGTAGCAGAAATTTCGATAGCACCTCTGGTGCTCGACAAGAGAATAGATCTCAACTAAATCCCTGTTTCCCAAAGAAAACAAAAATCGAAAGCAAAATATCTCAACAAAGTGGGATATCATCTCTTCCTCTCATCAGTTCAAGGACTGATCTGTTGAGTGAACCTAAACTCTTTATTACAAATCACAGCACGAACAATCAATTTTAACATGGTTCGGCAAATTGCCTACGTCCACCCGGCAAGGAGGGGGGAGATCTACTATTAGAGAGAGAATACAAATAGGATTTACAATCGCACAAATAAAACCCCTTAAACAAACTCTTAAATCTCTCACAATTAATCTCTCAAAGGGGATGCTAAAACCCTCTCAAAGTCAGCACGAAAAACTGCACAAAATCTCTCCTTGAAAGTCGACGGCTCACTGTATTTGCTTCTGTAGTTTTTCTTTTCACGCTGCTGCTTCTCTTTGCAATTCTTCCCTTGCACCAAAAAACCTAGGAACCGATTAAGAAGAAATACATATAGCTCAGGTGGGCTAGTATTTGTTTGGGTAACAAAAAAAGCTACTCACGTGCATTACTCCTCACACATTATCAAATCTGAATGTGTGTGTGGCCCACGTTCACAAACCTAAACGTGGGAGTGACCCCCACGCCCACATTCACAATTCTCCATCTTGGCGAAATTTTTTCCAAAACCGAGCCGACACCAAAGCAACCAAATGCCCCACTTATTGCATCTAGTACGAAGTGGAGTAAATCCATGACAACGGACTCAATCCATAACAAGTTGGGAACCAGAACGAGAGCTCAATCAATCTCCCCCTTCGAAATCAACTAATCCAACTGGTTGCATCTAAAAGACTGCCTATATATCCTCTTGCCCAAGGAATCAAGCCTCACGTTATTCATCCAAATGGTCTCTAAAGGCCCTCAATCCAATAGAAGAGTTCGTAACCCTCCTTCAATATCATCAACTCTATGGCTGATAGCACCTCCAATGGCCTAAAAGTGTAACAAATCAAATATCTCCACCTGAGGTGAACCAATGGTCATATCCAAACTACATCTATCAACTGCACTTTAAAACCCAACTCATCATCTGTATCCAAACCCAATTGATCGCAAAACTGTGTCACCTCAGCTGGAATCCTAAACAATACAGAATGATCTGGAGTATGTGGAGTAATCTCCACCCAATGTGAAGTAGCATTACTCTCCATCTGCTATGATACCTCTATGATTTATCCAAAACTCTCCACCTGCTAAGAGTCAATAGGCTCTCTCATAGAAGCCTCATCCAATATGACATTACCAGACCAAACATCCAATTGAGTTTTATCTTCAATCATAACAGTTGACAACTCTTTAATAGGTTGATCCAAATATATCGAAGCCTCGGTCTAGAAACTCTTCTGCAGACTATTGCTTGACAACAAATACCGATCCTCCTCTAGCAAGACACAATTCTCCAAATTTTCCACCTTATCTAGTTGTCCTAAGATTTTCTTTCCAATGAAGTATCTCGAAATGTCGTGAGCTCGGCTCCAATACAGAAATAGGTCCATCTTGTACCTCCCAACAAAACTAGAATGAAGTACCTTTACCTTTCTAACTATCATACACTTCTTCAATCTGTTGGAGACTACTAGGACTTTATCCAAAGGGGATTTGGTTGCAATCCAAACATGCCTAGAACAGCCACCAACAAAGGAAAGTAAACATCTATTTTCTCCCAATGATGCCTCCTTGAAAGACCCCCAAACATTCATGTGAACCTCATCTGAAAGACCCTCCATGTGGTGAATAGAGGTGCCAAACTTCACCTCGGTCTTCTTACTCATACCAAAGTGTTCACAAGATTTCAAATTGCAGGTCGTTGCACCCACCTCCAAATCAATACTGGAATGACAAAGCCCCAAATACCGCAGTCTAGTCGAATCAACAAAAGTCGCTAGCTTTCCACCTGTCACTATATCTCCAATCAAATAGTATAGGTTATTCCTCTTAACGCCCTTCATCACAATCAAAGAGTCTTCTACAATCTCAAGAACCATGTCTTCAACACGAACCTTTAGACCTTCTCCAACCAAAGCTCCAATTGAGATCAAGTTCTTCCTCAAGGAAGGAACATATCTCACATCATATTACTCTTTAACAGTCCCGTCAAACATCTTGATGTGAATTCTTCCTATCCTAAGGATCTGGAATGCACGGTTGTCTCCCATAAACACCATACCACTATCCAGTTTC